GAGGAAGTGTGGAAGTAAAAAATTAGCTGATAGACAGCAAACAGTTATTGAGATGGGTGATGGGAAGGGCCATGGGAATGAACGGACTATCAGACATCGTGTGCACAATGACTGGTGCTGGAGAACACAAAGGGCATGAATGTTCAATTATGGAAAAAAACCCCACTATGCTTTGTAAACGTCCACTCAAATCACACACAAAAAAGTAATTGTTAAACAAAGAAAACATAACAAAAGCACTGAATATATTATCTGAGTTTCAAGGTTTTACTTTGGAATATTTTCAAGCATACATCTGTATCTTCAGGCCAAGAAATACAAAAATAACATTTACTTAAATACAATTAATACCTAAAGTTTAGGTAGTTTCAATGAGTTGTCATAAACAACATACTCAGAATTGACACATTTTAAAAAGCTTCTTAAACTATAATACTCTGGAATAAACTTTCCCCTAAGCATTCTACTTTACAAGTTAGGTATGTACAAAAAAAAAAACAGTGGAAAATTCACAAAGGTCTGATGAACTACAAGAAATGTTTATAGTCTTAATAAAGACAAGAATAAGTAATGGCAAAATACCTATAATAAGTACAGCTAAAGCGATTACAATGTGACACTGTAAGTAAAAGGCACTAGAAGATAAATGCAAACACATCTGATCTTGTAAATGCATTACAGTCCTTCAGGAAATTCTAAGTACATGAAAAGTATACCCATAAACCAGACTACTACAAGCACTTCTTTTAATAGCTTTCCATCATTAACATTCTTTGAGAATGATGAAGAACTTTTACAGTGATTCAGTGGGACTGGGTATCATCATTCGACTTTAGGAAATAATGAGCTGTGGCTGGGATTTATACCGAGACTATGTGGAACTGAATCAGAATGTTTCCGTGGGCTCCGCTGCCAGCCTTTGATACCTGTCACCACATAACACGATGCTCTGCATTGGTTCATGTACTTAGCAGCAGATAGAGCAGTATGTTGGGATCTTAGATTTGATGACAACAAGGCTGCCCTGCAGATAGAAAAAAAGTGTACACCATTAGTATCATGAGGCATTCCTTAGCAGAAATTAAGTTGCGTAACATGCCTCACACAAGCCCAAAATAAAAAAGAAAAATAGGACGAGAGCCAAATAATGTAAAGGAAAGAGAAATTTTCTTAGAGTTCAATAACATGCAGATCACTATTGCTTTTTAAAGTATGTAAACAGAGAAGTAGGTGGAAGTCAGCCAGCCAGGACTTGAATCCAGCTTGTAAACTCACTGATGAGGCCTGGTGGTGCAGTGGTTAATGTGCTCAAGTGCTCACAGAATTCAGTGACCCAAACCCACTGGGCATTCCGAGGGGAGAAAGACTTGCTCTCGTAATGACGAAAGTCAAGGGACTTCTATGGGCACTTCATTGTCCTCTCAGATAACAAATAGTGAGAACTTGAGGGTAATGCGGTCCAGCAACAACTGTCCTGTCAAGTGTGGAGCTGATTACTTCTCTGTCCCTACAGCTTGCTCATTAAGAAGAGGGCGCTGGAGAAGAGTAAGTTTTTTAGTGTCTATCAAATACTCATAGAACTCTTGTCACATAGTAAAGTTTCTTTACTACTCAAGAAAGACAAGTGTTGATGAGTATCTGTCTAGAGACAAATGTGCTTATCACTTACAAAGAAAACTAAGGCTAAGAGTGGTCAGGTTTCAATTTAAAATGGTAATAAACAAAGGCTGATAGCATGCGATCAAATATCCATAAACTGGTATATTTATTTCCCCAAAAGTTGCAACAAGTCACAGAAGCTCTAAATATGGGAGCCTGCAATATGGCAAAGAATCCTTTACAGAAATCTAACATTTAAAAAAGTGAAAGCCACACTTTTAAGTTCTTAGAAGCAAAAGAAGAGCTACTGTTCATTTCCCGGCAGATTACAAAGTACCAGAATTAAGGGTGACAGAGAAAGTCTTTGTTACGCTTTCTCTTTTTGTATTTGTTAAGATATTGTGCAGGACATAGGAAGGAGGGACGAGAGAGAAGTCCAAAGAATATAAGCAGCATGCAGGAACCCTCCCAACAGAAACTACGCTGCTCTTCTGTATTAGCCAACTTTCAGTGGTCAGTTTAATCATCTAGGTTCCCTTTCAAATCTTAACACGGTCTTTGCAAAGTTCATGTGGAAGAAAGTGATCCCTGTTGCCCCCCATGACTCTAGCCCTGGGTCTTCCCCTCTCCGCTTGCCGCTTCCAAACTAGCAATCCAGAGCATCTGTGAAAACCACCAAAAGTCCTTGCTGTATACACTGAGCATCTGTTTTCTTGAATTTCACCAGGGAGAAATGGCCAAATTCCTTTTACATTCAAATTCTCAGGATAATAAGCTTCCACAAGCTAGAATAACTTCCTTCCTGCGAGGAAGGGACGCTGCGAATTGCCCAGGGAATGGTTCCACATGCCTCAACAAGGTGTCTCAGCATTAATCCTCAGTCCAGGGACTAACACAACAGAGACATTCATTATCTTGTAAGCATCAGAATTTAATTCTTCTCTACCAACTTTAATCAAGGCATCCATCATAGAGAGAACAGAATGAATATAAAAGTCACTGAAAGGGTCAAGTAATTTCAATAAAGCTGGAACTAAAATGCTTGCCATTTAAAAATGAAGCACATACACACGCGCTTTGATGTAATTAGTTCTGTTAGAAAGTACAGAGACTACACACTGAATTTGGCAGTGTTGATACTCACACACACAGCTCTGCCATTTATGCTCTGATTAAAGATAATCCCCCAAAGAGAGAGAGGTCATCACTGACAACAGGTCTAAGACTCAGTGATTTGAACACTTATTTCACAAGATGAAAACTTAATTAACCAAGTTAACTGACAGAACAGAACTAATAACCAAATTCCCTACCTTCTCCCATACTGAAAAACTAGAATAACCAACTGCACTATTCTTGTATGTGTGCGCAAGTCTGTGATTACACAGGCACAGTAGAACAGTCAGCTAGAAAGAGTGTTGGAATCTTTGTATATGGTGTGCATGGCTGCTACTGTTGTTGTCGTGTGCCGGTGGGTCAGAGCTGACTCACAGCTGACCCCCTGTGGGCTTTCAGAGGCAGGAAATCACACGAGGAGACTGACTGCTCATCGCTCTGCCTCAGAGCACCTGGTGGGTGTGAACCACCTGCCTTTGGGTGGACAGAGCAACTCCTTGTCCCCTAGGCCACTATGCACCCGTAATTTATGGTAGAGTCTACATTTTTTAAACAGACGAGATGGCAAAAATTAATAATAATCATTTTTTTAAATGTACCTTTTCTTTAATGAGCTCTCTTAAATTAATCCCTCTGTTTTCTGACATTTCCAGTGAAAAAGGCAAAAATGGTCATATTTTTAAAGGAAAATCTACAGCAGCCCCATGTTGTGTGCACAGAGTTGTTGTTGTTGTTACGTGCTGTCGAGTCGCTTTGCGACTCATAGCGACCCTATGTACAACAGCCCTAAACTCTGCTCTGTCCTGCGCCAATCGCACTGTCTCTGACACACCCATCTTGATTGTCCCAGTCACTGAATCAATCCCCCTCACAAAGGGTCTTCCCCTCCTGCGCTGTCCCTCCACAGTCCCAAGCATGACGTTCCTCTCCAAGGACCAGTCCCTCCTTACACCATGACCAAAGTATGTCAGACGAAGCCTCAGAATCCTTGCCTCCAAGGAGCAGCTCGGTTTAACCCTCTCCAGTAGCACCAGAAACTCAAAGGTGTTATTTTCATGACTGGGACTATAGAATCCTAGCACTTAAACACGGCAAGAGGCAAAGCTATGGGCTTCAAAACAGGAGTACCAGTATCAAGTCACCTGGTTCCCTACAGCTGACAATGAGATAAAGCATGTCACAGGAAGTCTACTTTAAAATCTGACTACAAATTAAAAACCAAGCCTATTTCATTACTTAAGGGACAATGTTCTACGTACGCTGCCGCCATGCTGCTCCAGCTTCTGCAGGGCACTGGTGACCGGCTCTTTGAATTTCTTGTTCATTAGTCTTTTGGAGAGCTTTCAAAATAAGATTAGGGGGGAAAAATTAAAATTTGCCAAGGTCCCATGATTGACCAGCCCACTGTCACTGCATCGGCTCTGGGCCATCGTGGTCCTCGCCTGGGCTTCTGAGCCCATAAATCCCGTGAGAGGACACCTAGATTCAAACTGCTGACCTTCCGGCTATTGTTTACCAGGAACCGAGGAATGGAGGGGTTTCAGAGGCAGTAAACCTTCACTTTAGCAGCCAGATATGTTACACACTACACCACAGAGCTGCTTTTCCCAAACACGTTAAGCACTATTTATGTTATTTAGTGACCTGGGGTGCGATGCCGCAGTCCCTCATGAGCTGCACTGCTAACCCAAACGCCACAGCTTGCTGGAGTTTCAAACCCACCCGAAGCTCCGAAGAAAGACGCACAACCTCCGTTTTTATTTCCAGCCTAGAAACCCAATGGCGGAGTGAGTTCTGACTTGATAGGAGTGAGAATGAGAGACACACAATGAAATAAAATCAACTATCAATTACATCTTGTCAGTATAGTTTCACTTCTTCACCATAAACAGAAGTACAAGTTCAGCAACAGGCTAATAGGAATGACCACTTCATTGTGTGGTGTTTTTTAACAGCCCTGAAGCCTGCTCTGTCCTGTGCCAACCTTATTATCTCTGACACACCTGCCCTCATTACCCCAGTCACTGCATCATTCTATCATCGATGGTTTCCCTCTCTTTCTCGGTCCCTCCACTCTTCCAAGCATGATGTCCCGTCCCTCTCCAAGGATTGGTACCCCCTTGTATAAAATAGTAACGATGCATTATTTTAAATACTATCAACCCTATAAAATCTACATTACAGAAACAAAAGACAATTGTCTTTTAAAATAATCTATTTCCATTCTGTCACCTCTACCAGCATAACTCGAAGGTTATTCCAGAAGGTTATGACTAAAAATACATAGTTTTCTAAAATAAAACAGGGTGACAATGACTAGTTAGAGCCCTTATACGAATAATTCACTAATGTTGACTGGCTGGCTTAGAAACCACAGACCGTCGAACCCAAGGTATTTCCTGAGTGGGTCTCAACTGGAAAGGTAGAACGCAGACTGAATAGAGAGGATGCAAAAGGTGCTGCATGTGTGAATCTCAACAACAGAGGAGCATAGCATGATGCACATTATGGGAATCCAAATTTCATATTTAATATTTGTAATAAACAGAATGCTACTTCAATTACGAGGGAGGCTGCTATCAGCTGGAATTAATCCTGAAGCACGAAGGCAATCCTTAATCGTTTACAGGGGTTGTGCATTGCCCCTCCTGCCTGAGTCAAGCAGAAGGTTGTCAACAGAGAAAGCTCAGCTTCACCTGTATTGGGTTCTCTTGGTGATTTACTTCCTGGCAATTCTCAATAAAGACAGGAAAGCTGGACTCGGCAAGAGTTCCCTTCAGTGGTTCGAGAACCGTTTGTCTCCTGCTTTACGTCTGTTTTCTCCTACATTCCTGGTGTTCTGTCTTATTATTAATACTTAGATTAATACTTTGCCCCTGGTCTGCAACAGCACATAATCCCACACATCCTGGGAGAGGGTCCCACCCAATGTCTGCATTACCACACTGGGCAACATGAACTTCTCAGCCATTACATTTCTTGAGCACAGCTCCACTTTCTGGAAAAACAACTTGTTATGGCTTAAATTGTGCCCGCCGAGACATACAGTTAAGTCCTGGCCCCTGCACTGATGAGAACGTCATCTGGGGAACAGGAATTTGTCCTTTGGCCAGGTTATCCTGTAATATCCTTTGCATGTGCTGTATGAACTCCTACTGGAGCTGGGTGATCCTAACCCTAAACCCTTATGGAATGTCCTCTTACTAAACAGAAGAGGGCGCATGGGCAGAGCCAGTTCTCTGCAGGGGGATGCAGCATGTGAGGGTTTAGCTACAATACAAGAAGCAACTGGGGTAACAGAGGCTAAAGGGACAAGGGACAGTGTTTCCTTAGCGCCTTCTGAGACAGAGACCACAGCCCAGGAGATAATCTGAATTTGGACTGATAGCTTCCAGGACTGTGAAACCAAAAAGTCCTGTTCTTTAAATCCCCACTCTGTGGAACTTAGTGTGGCAGCAACTAAGACACAACTGAATCCCATGCAAATGAGTCAGTCATCAGATCTCTCCCAGGCCACTGTCACATGAAGTTATTATCTAATGGTCCTGTGGCCAGGCATGACAGGAACCCTGCAGGAGCACTTCACACCACTGGACAAGGAAGAGAGGGAGGTTCTTCAATCAGGCCCTCCAAGGTCAGGCAGGGTCAATGAGACTTCCAGGCAGAGAAATGCAGTTCTGAGAAGGACAGGCCTACCAGTGTCTGAGGGAAGAGCGAGAAAACATGTCCCTCCCTGTCCTGAGGCCTGCGTTCTTTAGAGCATGTCCTCTGACAGTAGGAGTTTACAGGAAGATCCCTGAACCACCAACTTCAGAATCACCTGTGCTATTTACTTAAAAGTTCCCGTGACCTTGACACAAGAACTAGATGACCACTCCTAAAAGGACTGGAGGAGAAGGTTCCAGATATGCACACGTGTGGACCAAATCACGAAAATATAAAAGTGGTCAAACTTTTCCAACAGGTACCGATGGAAAACTGAGACTGGCCCGCAGTGATCCTTGGAAACAGAAATAAAACTCACCCCCAAGGCGCAAGTTTCAGCCAAACAAAAGGCAGGTCTGTAAGGTGAACACCAGGAAGGCATTCACTCCTCAGGATGAGCTGTAAGAGCAAGGCAGCAGCATCTGCCCAGGGACACAGCTCAGAAGGCAGGAAGGGCTAGACTGAAGGGTGAAAGGAAACAAGACTCACAGGGAAGAAGTGGGGCGAGTGCAGTTACACTGTGGGCCTTGTGGTTAAAGTTATAAAACAAAATGAGTATGAAGGGCTGCATGAAAACTGATCTGCTCTGTAACCACTCAAATCACAAACAGAACAGAAACGCAGGTTTTTGGGCCTCCCCAGAGTAACGTAACAATGCCCTCAGGGTGGCAACCCACACTCGGCATGGACAGCAAAACCCTCAGTTGATGCACTCCCTCTCTAGAACGTGGGACCACTGGCCGAAGAGGAGTGGATGGCCGCCCCTTATGGTAACGTTTCAAAGGGTCTGACTTACCTGCCCATGATGGAAAGCAACTGTGCACATGCTCATCAGTTAGTTTTAAAATCCTTTTTCTGTAAGATAAACTCTTGAGGCACACACCTAGTGCAGAGGCTGGTAAAGCAGAGGCAATGGAAGGCAGGCTCTCAGGCTGAAGGAGGAGCAGGTGGGGGCTAGGGAGGTCCACCGAGCACCCCAGCCAAATCCCACGGTGAGGAGCTCACCCCAGCACCACCTCTTCCCAGGGCTTCCTCTCATCCGGGTAACGCTAGCCCCATCTGAAGGCCACTGAGGTGGTGAGGTCTTTCCCAAGTGTTGACAACCCAGGAAGGGCCACAGGCCCTGTGGCTCAGCCCTTGTCTTAGAAAAAGCAGAACTCTAGGCATGTGTGTGAAGGATCACAGATTAGTGCCCCAGGCTGTTGAAGGTTAAAAAGAAAACAGAAGTCTACACAGAATTCATCTCTCTTGACACCAGCAGCCAGGAAATTAAAAGATGTACTGCATGGGGAAAGTCTGCTGTTAGGGATCTCTCCAAAGTAATGAAGAGCAATGATGTCAGTCTGGAGACTAAGGTGCGCCTGATACAGGCCATGGTCTTTGCAATCACTTGCTATGCATCAGAGAGTTGGACAATGACTAGGGATTGCTGTGGTGTTGGAGTAGAATGCTGAATATACCATGGACCGCTAAGAGAACAAAAAGGTTCGTCCTGAAGAGGGTGAAGCCAAGCTGCCCCTGGAGGCAAGGAGTCTGAAGCTTCATTTGACATATTTTGGACATGTTGCCAGGTGGGATCAGTCCTTGGACAGGGACGTCAAGCTTGGGAGGGTGGAGGGACAGCGCAGGAGAGGAAGATCCTCGATGAGATGGATTGATTCAGTGACTGAAGTTATGGGGCAGGTGTATTGGAGACAATGAGGCTGGCAAAGAATAGAGCAGAGTTTAGGACTGTTGTACATAGGGTGGCTAGAAGCCACAGGCAACTCAATGGCATATAACAACAACAAATAACACCACCACATGGAATTCAACGGTAGTCTGTTCTTTTCTCACTACCGATATGACAAGAGGAGGGAGGCTGTTTAGGAGGCAAAAGTCTGTGCCACATTCGAGCCCTGAGAACAGTGATTCCTTTTCTCTCCACATCACTACCTCTTCGCCCATCTCGTCCCGAACCTCTTAGCAAATGTCCTTCCTACTTACAAAACTCATAACCATCAAGTCGATTCCAACTCACAGCAACTCGATGGGAGAGAATACAACTGTCCTCTGGGGATTCCAAGGCTGTAACCTTTAGAGAAGCAGGCTGCCACCACAGTAACCCACACAACAGCTGGTGGTGTTGAATCATGGCAGCGGGGCACATGGCCACCTGCCACCTGGGCTCCCCTCATTTCTTTATCCCTCCCCTCAAACACAACAAAACCAACACACCTCTACCAATCTCCACAAGGTCTGGATGTCTGTTTTCACTCAGCATTATAGTCTCAGTGTTTGGCAGAATACTCAGCGTAAAACGGGACAGCGTGCTAACACGTGGCATGTTTGAGGAAATGAAGACGCCTACAATGTGGTGGTCTCTTATACATGGTGGTGGTTGGGTACCGTCAAGTTGGAAATGACTCTTCAGCATGTGCTCAGAGGCAGTAAATCCCATGAGAGCTGACTGCCCATCTTTCTCCAGCAGAGCGGCTGGTGGATTCCAACCATGTGCCTCTGCACGGGCAGTGCAACACCATCAATAAGACACTAGAGCTTTCTATCATACACACTTGTTGTTGTTGTGTACTAGAGTCAGAACTGACCCACAGCTGACCTGCCAGGAAATTTTTAGAGGCAGTAAATTACACAGGAAATTGTCTATCTTTTCCCCATAAAATAATGGATCTGCACTATGTTCCTTTCTGTAGGCAGTGCAATTCCTTACCAAGAAGCCACCCAAGCTCCTTATTTTACACATTGTTGCTGTTGCATGTGCCATCAGAACCCTAATGGATTTTCAGAGGCAGTTAATCACATAGGCAGAGACTGCCCATTCTTCTCCCACGGAGCTGCTGGTGCATTCAAACCATGTGCCTTTTACAGCACACTGTTGTTACATGCTGTTGAGTCGCCTGTGACCCACAGTGACCCTGTGTACGACACCTCTGAAGCCTGCCCTGTCCTGAGCCAGTCTCACTGACTCCAACACACCTACCCCTGCCGCCCCAGTTACTGTATCAATCCGTCTCATCCATGGTCTTCCTCTCCTGCGCTGTCCCTCCACCATTCCAAGCATGATGTCATTTTTCAAGGACTGGTCCTTCCTCATCATGTGCCCAAAGTATGTGAGACAGAGCTTCAAAATCTTTGCCTACTAGTAGCAACTTGGCTTCATTCACCCTCTCTCCAGGACAGACCTATATGTTTTCTTGTCAGTCCGTGGTATGTTCAAGACTCTTCTCCAGCACTACAACTTGAAGGTATTGATTCTTCTTCTGTCATCTTTAGTCACTGTCCAGCTCTCTGATGCACAGCAAATAATTTTCAAAGACCATGGCCTGGATCAGATGCATCTTAGTCTCTAGACTGGCATCACTGCTTCTTGGTACTCTGGAGAGGTCCCTGACAGATTTTCCCAGTGTAATTCATCTTAGGATCTCCTGACTGCTGGTGCCAAGAGTGTTGATTGTAAGCAAGCTTTAACTGTTAACAACCACAGTCTCTTCTCTATCATGATGCTGCCAATTTGCACACTAGTAGATATTAGATGCCTTCAGAGATCAGAAGCCACAAGAGATGTTGTCCAAGAAATCTTGTAAAAGGTTACATTGCCCTAATCAGAGTTTAGAAGCAATTATCTACCCAGATCACCTTCCTCCTGCCCTAGACTTCCCACACGCCGGGCTTCCAGACTGAACTCTCACAACGTCATCTCCCACCCTGAATTTCAGGGGACTTCACCTCCCACCAGTCCTCACCTCAGCACAGCTGTCATGACTGATTCATCACCATTTCTTCCTACTACTTTCACTACGTGGTTTCAACGTGGAGTAAGAAACTGAAAACACAGCAGTGGGACATCTCAGAAAAAATTCAACAATGAAAAACCAAAAGAATTATGAACAAACTACATCTCAATTCTGCGCTGTAGGAAAGAAAAAAATGCCGGCCAGGAAACCCTAAAGCCGAACCCACCCCAGCTGCTGCTGAACTGCTTCTGACTCCATGACACCAGGAAACAGACGGAAGTGGCGTGTCAGGCGTCTAAGGCTGGATCCCGAGGGGAGCGCACCACCACGACCATCGTCACACAGCGGCAGGTGAGGTCAAACCCTAGGTCACCGACAGCGCCCCTCTCAATCTAGCGGTGTGTCTGGTGTAAGGGGGCCCTGGTGGTCTAATGGTCAGGAGTCAGGCTGCCAACCCACAGGCAGGAGGTTCATATCCACCGGCTGCCCTGTGGGAGGATGGGCGACCTCCTGTGTGATTACTACCTCTGAAAACCCACAGGCAGGTCAGCTCTGAGTCGGTCCCGATCAACAGCAGATAACATCATCAATGTGCTGAATAAAGGCTTACTCAGCTCCCAGAAAGGCTAAGCTCTTCCCCTAGCTCGTCTACGCCCTTAGAATGTCTTGACTCCTAAGAGTGCACTTTTTTACCTGGTAGGCAGTGGTCAAGGCACAGCCTATAGTTCCAACTAACAATATAATTCCCTGGCTGAGGGTGGCAGGTGGGGGTGGGGGAGTGGGCTACAACCTATCTCTCAGCTCCGTCTAAAAGGACCAGACACTAGAGTAAGCCATGTAAGTCATCATTCAATTCCTTACTTTTTATGACAACACTAAACTCTGCTCACGGAGTATATTCCAGTACCAAAAAAGAAAACATCATTCATTAATAAAACGTCTTCTAAGTGTGAGATCTAATTTCATAGTCTTAGATTATTTTAATGATTAACGTGAACTATCGAACTGTAATGAGCTAAGAAGAGTGCATGCCGACGTGAACAACTACGCCCTGGTCTGTTCAGTACTCACACTTGTAAGCAGATGTTTCAGATGGTCATTTAGAGAAGGACCGACAACACCACTTAACTGCATCAAAGCGTCAAGTCCCCTCCCAAACACTCCATCATCCGCATGGACCTGTGAGGTTGGTTGGTTCAGGCAGTGGGAGGCAGAAAGCAAAGGAGAAAAGGACGTAAGTTAGAAAAAGGGTAACAAATAACGAAAACCTGACTGAGAGCATTTACAATTACAACCATTCAAACGCAGAATTGTTTAAGCTAATGCTTCATGGGAACAAAACACCCAAGGAAACAAGAACAAATCTTCACCCGAACTGCCCTAACTAGCACATGTGGCGGCTAGACAGACAGAGTGAAAGTTCAGGACTTCTTTTAATAATTCACTATGTCTCTTTCTACCTTTAACACACTCTAATTCTGCAAGAATACACTCAGTGAAATCACAGGTAAAGGGCTCATTTCTAGATGACTTTGGGGACAATGACAGGGAAACTATTTCTGAATTAAAGCGCCCTTTCCTTTCCTTGCCCTTGCATCTTGAACTTGTGAAACAGAGAGGAAAGGAAAGGAGGACATACCAGGGCCGCCTTGAGCACAGGGATCAGTCTCGGGAGCAGCGGCACGGCTTTCTCAGGAGCATCGTGGACCAAAAGCAACTCTCGAAAACCCTCCTTCGACACAAAGGTGTAGGGGTGCTTGGTCTCCCTCAGACCCTGGCAAAGACAGCATCATTCACCTCCTGTTGTGTTATGATCACACACACACACGCGCGCGCGCACACACACACACACACACACACACACACACACACACGGAATTCTCGGCAGTCTAAGAGAAAACCCAAGTTTATTCCTATTCCTGTTTTCTAACCATGCTTTCATTTCAGTGATTACAATATCAATTACAAGGAGACCTTGTGGAAGAAAGGTTATATATGAGAGAAAAAAGATCTGAAACCCATGGACCGCCAGAAAACCAAATGGCTAGGTCTAGGTAAATGTGCGGCCGGAGAGCTTCTCGGAGACAAGTATGGCAAAACTTCGTCTCACATATCTTGGGCATGATGTTAGGATGGGGCTATTCCTTTAAAAAGGACATCAGCTTAGAGAGGTGGAGGGTCAGCGAAAGACAGAAGACCCTCAGTGGCCATGGACTGACACAGTGACTGCAGCAATGGGCTTCTGTGTGTCAGAGATGATGAGGGCGGCACGGGACAGGACCGGGTTCAGACCCGTTCACGGGATCACCGAGTCGTACTCAACTTGACAGCACTTAACAACAGCAACCACAGGAAAGACGGGGTGGAAAAGAAGTAAAAATAAAATAATATAAACAAAAGAAAGAACGAAAAAAGGGAGCGGAGGTGGAAGAAAGAAGATGGGAAGCTGGAGGTTATGGAAAAAAGATGTAAATGCAGAGAACAATGACAACAAAAAAGATGACGGGGAAGAAATCATACATACCTCAAACATGAAAGTGCATCAGATTAACCTAAAATATGTGTATTTAAGCACTGCTTCACTTTATGAATGTTTAACTGTTGAACCTTCTAGGTTTACAGTGGTTTTAAATCTTGTTAAGTTTCTAAAATACCTCCTATGCTCCTCTTTAAGTTTTTAAACATTGTGCCAACTAATTTTCAGTCATATTGTATTATTTTCAATTGCTTATTTTATTTGTATTTAAATATGTTCTTTTATAAAATGAAGAAGGCAAAGATTTTACTATGTGTAAAAGAACCTTAAGATTTTAAATGTAATTTTTAATACTGGAATTTGAAATTGAAAAAAGAACACTTGTTCATCATTACTCATTATGTTTTTCATTCTAAAGGCATCAGAAAGAATAACCAACTGTTCTGAGTGATTACCAGGGAGCTCTGATGGCTTAGTGGTAAGTAGATGCATTGCTAACCCAAAGGCATGTGGTTTGAATCTTCCAGTCATTCTGTGAAAGATGGACCGTCTCCTCCCATGCAACTGACAGACTCTGAAAACCCACTGGAGGGTCTACTGATTCAGTTCCAACTCAGTGGTCCACAATACAAACTGCACATCTCCTGGCCTGGATGCCGCAGTGCTGGGAACTACACGTCTCCTGGCCTGGATGCTACAGTGCTAAAAACTGCACGTCTCCTGGCCTGGATGCCACAGTAGTAATAATTTTACGTCTCCTGGCCTGGAA